CAAAAAAAAAAAAAAAAAAAAAAAAAATTAGATGAAAATACTTTGCATCTTGCCAAGACTGGTCATTTTCCTTTGTATGAACAATTGAGTTGAAAATTGGTAAAAATGGTTATCATGTACAGGGGTCAAAATGTATAACTGTGTAAAAGACTAAGCCATTTATAATCATCATCTGAAAGCTTCAAGTCTGATTGAGTTTGGCACTTATTTTCCTGGATTTTCCTCATTTTATATGAGAAATTATTTTCAGAAGTTTAGTGATAGAAATCAGCTTGTATATAGTTTACTTTCATATCTTATACCTTGCGAATTATTTAGCGCTAAACAAGATGACAATGTATTTTTTAGGAACAGAGGTAGGTTCCAAAGTAGTACTTAGAACTGACTAATAAATAATTTATGAATATATGTGTATATATATACATATATCCCAGTAGGTGGCGGAAAGAATACTGAACTAGGATTCAGCAGGCGTAAGTTTTAGTTCTGTCACTGACACTTACCTGCAGTGTAGTAAAATCGTCAAGAGAATGGGCTCTAGAGTCATACCCTTTAGTTTAAATCCTAGATCTGCCGTTTGCTGTGTGACCTTAGGCAGATCCTTTGACTGCTCAGAGTTTCCTCATCTGTAAAATAGAGGCAATAGTGATACTCCACAGAGCTGGTCTAAGGTTTAGAAGAAAAGATATGTAAAATATAGAACACAGTGTCTGGCACACAGCATCCAATACATATTAGTATAGACCTTGAACAACTTACGACCTCCCTGAATCTTACCGGTTCTGCTGAATCCTTTAGGATATTGTGAATCAAGGAATAGAGTGTGTGTGAAACTGCTTTGCCAAAAGTACAGCACTATCAAAATGTAAGATGATAATGGAATTGCAAGTATATAGGTCCTATGGACTCTAGAGCACAGAATTAATCTATGACTGCTGTGTGTAAAGTGATTCCATGACTATTATGCCAGTGGGGAAGCCAGCTGATCTGGGCAGAATCTACCAGCAAAGTCTATCCTATAATCTACTGTCTTCTATACATGAAAGTAATGCACCAGCCTTCTGAGTCTGACCTTTTTCTCCGGGGTATGCAGGAATTTGCAAATCCCATCCCTATATCCTGGTCTATCCTTTCTTTGGCTAAGAGTAATAGCAGGACATCTGTCTAGGCTGTGGGAAGCAACGTGCAGCCATGACACAAGGGATGCACCTCATGTAACCATGAACCTCATGTAATCACAGCGTGACCTTGGTCTCACAGCTCACAGATCTCATAAACTGATCCAACCATCTACCACTTCCTTTGCCAGGAGCCAGGGCTCCAGGAAGTATCTGCCACATGGAATTCATTTATAATTTCAAACAGGCTTGATCTTAAACCCAAGCAGTGAATACTGGGGATTGGAATAGGGTAAATATTTACTCTTCTCTGAATAAGAGAACATTTTCCTCTCAACTCATGAGCCAAATGAAAGGAACCAAGCCTATTACTCTTATGAGCAGTATTCTAAAATTTTGTGAAAAGTATTATTGAAGAAATAATACTTTTAATTTTAATTTTCATGTGTAGGATTTGCGAAGAAATCAAAAGAGAATAGCTGAGTTGAACGCCACTATAAGAAAATTAGAAGACAGGAATACCTTGCTTGGAGATGAACGAAATGAATTGGTGAGTTCTAAGCAAAATTATTTTATTTTATTATTTTTTAAACACTTTGTTATAGTAGTATATACGATGTTATAGAAGTATAGCACAATAAAGAAAAGTGCACAGATAATAAAGATATGGCTCAGTAAATATGCCCAATGTGAGGCACCCATATAACCACTATCCAGATGAATAAGTGGAAGATTACCAGCATCTCAGAACTTCCCCTTTGTGTGACCTCTTTCAATCACCATCCTTCTAAAGTTAACCACTATACTGAATTCTCTCACTATAGATGTCTATCGCCATTTTTAAAATGTGTTGTAGGGAATTCCCTGGCGGTCCAGTGGTTAGGACTTGGCACTTTGACTACTGGGGCTTGGGTTCAGTCTCTGGTTGGGGAACTAAGATTCCCACAAGCCGTGCAGCCCAACCAACAACAACAACAAAATGTGTTGTAAATGGAATCATATGATAATTACTCCTTTGTGTCTGGCTTTTTTGCTCAGCATTACATTGGTGAGAGTCATCCACTGTGTTGCATGTAGAATTCATTCATTTTCACTTTCTATCATATTCAATTATATACGATATAATTATATATCTATTGTAAAAGTATAAACAATATATGATATGTATATATAATTATATGATAAATATATATATATTCATCTATTGTTAATGGACATTAATGTTCTTTCATAACAATTTATAGCTGTTAATGGTGCTGCTACATGTCCTGGTGAGAAAATGTGCTCATGTCTGGGGGGAATATACTAAGGAACAGAATTACTGGATCATAGAGTATACATGCAGTCAGCTTCAGCAGTTGCTACCAGTTTTCCACAGTTGTCTTAACAGCCACATTTCCCCCAACCATGTCTGAGAGTTGTAATTTCTCCATGTCTTTGTCAACATGCAAAGATAATTGGTCATTTTGGTGGGTGTGAGGTATATTCTTATTGTAGGATTTTCATTTTTATTTTCCTTCTCACTAATGAGGTGGAGTAACTTTTCAAATATCTATTGGCCTTTTGGTTATCCTGTGTGATTTGCCCTTTGTCTTTTGCCCATTTCCTCTTGTGCGTTCATTTCCTTATTAGTATTAGGGATTTTTTACATCATTTTTGGATGTTTGTGTTTAAAATATCATGCTCTGTGCCTTACATTTTACATTCTTTTTGGTGGCTCTTGGTATAATGAAGTCATTTTCAGCCTCTAAACACAAGGGACACATTGTCTTATGTCTTGCCAGTTAAAACGCGTGCGGGAAACCGAAAAACAATGTAAACCTCTTCTGGAAAGGAACAAGTGCCTCGCCAAGAGAAACGATGAACTGATGGTGTCTTTGCAGCGCATGGAAGAGAAACTAAAAGCCGTTACCAAGGAAAATTCAGAAATGGTGTGTACCACAGACTCTGCAAAACTGCAGCTTCTTTCTTTTTATTACTCTGTTAACCTGACTTCCTGGTCTTTCCCAGTTTATTTTTAAAATACAATGCTATTTGTGAAAGCTTAGATTTTTTCCCTTATGTAAGCAAGGAACACATAAGGAAGAAATCAAGAGAAGGTTGCTGGCTTTGAATTTTGTGGGGTTTCTAAATTTTGCAGAACGATGACAGCACTTCCAGGAATCTGTACACTCTCCAAAAGCTGCAAAACAGAGAAGCAGAGTTTCAACCTAGCCCCTCAGCCACAGAAACCTCCTTCCAGGATAAACAAGGTCCTACTGTATAGCACAGGGAACTATATTCAATATCCTGTGACATTCCAGAATGGAAAAGAATACGAAAAAGAATATATATATATACATATATATATATGTATAACTGAGTCACTTTGCTATACAGCAGAAATTAACACAACATTGTAAATCAACTAAGCGTCAATAAAACTTTTTTAAAAATTAATAAAATTTTAAAAATAGAAACCTCCTTCCAAGAATTTCACTAACGTGCACTTTGTGGAACCGTACAGTGGGTACCCCACATCTCCTAAGATCTTGCATAGTAACTGAGAATAGATGCCATCATTTTCATTATATATAGAGGTGACGTGCTAACGTACTCCTTCACAGACTTCCTGTCCTGCTGTAGAGATCTTCAGACATTCCCAATGATTTCCACCTATTACAGAAGACAAAATGTACTTGAGGGTGTTAGTTGGTGTGTGTGTGTGTATTGAAGCTGGGCCATTTTCACGTTTAGCTGTAGCCTCATAAAGTTTCTACAGATATTTTATGTTAACCACTAAAGTTTGGGATTTTCAAAGTCTCCACCTGCACTTTCTTTTTTTTTCAACCCAGAGAGAAAAAATTACATCTCATCCACCCTTGAAGAAATTAAAATCTCTGAATGACCTCGATCAAGCTAATGAAGAACAAGAGACAGAGTTTCTAAAACTTCAGGTCATTGAACAACAGAACATTATTGATGAGCTCACAAGGGTAGGTCTTGATTAATCTATAAACTCTAAGCTGTTTCCAAGGACAAGTAGCCAAGAAATCAACATACACTAGAAGCAGTTAATAATTTTGGTAACACAAATAATAGCTGCAAAGCACATTAAAATAATTCCCAAATGCATTATAATGTGAGTAGGTGGATTGTGTGATGTATCTTATAATTGCTTCCCAGTATCAAGATTCTGAGGCTCAGAGATTAAATACTTTGCCTACAATAACAGGACCATAGGTCTCTTGTTTCCTAACACCTGATTCAGTGTCTGGCACATAGTGGTAGTTTAATAAATATTTGTCGAATGAACAATAATATCATAATGACATAACAGCTGAAATTCCAGTCCAGATCTTCTGACTGTGACTTCAGTACCTGCTGAAGTAGGTAAAGCAGTTGTTACTCCCATCTGCATCTGGCTGAGGCCTGTGTTACCTCCAACTTTGGGCTGAGACCTGTATAGGCGTTTGGGTTTTCCTCTTTGCCTCTGTCTTTATTCTGTGAATGACATCTGTGATCACTCTTCAGGACCAAGCCAAGGCTTACAGAGGTGAACTAGTGATGGGGGAGTTTCAAGCAGTAGTCTCCAGAGTAGGGTGAGCAAGATGATTTACTGCCATTGAGGGAAGAAAAGATTATAAATTCTGCTTTATAATTATTTATGGTTCACCCTTTTAAAAGTTTCCATGTTGAGTGTATGTTATAATGCATATGCTACATTTGTAGGGTCATCTAAGTATAAATTTTAAAAGTTTTGGATATATTAAGGTTGCATGATCAAATTACTTTTACTTATAAAGGTGAAAGATCAAAAAAGTTAACACCACTGGCTTGACCAGATTATTTCTTAAACATGCGCTTCAAAGCTCTATGCCCCTCACTTCACTTCCACATGCTTAATAACTCATAAATCTCACAGATTCACTAGTCCAGGAATTTGCTTGGCTTTGAGTATCCTGAGTTTAAGCTAAAAGTTTCTTACAGAATTTTGAGGCATGTCTACCAGACTTTCAAGAAGACATAAGTGTCACTTATTCCATCCACTTTTTTTAAAAATATTTATTTATTTATTTATTTGGCTGCGTCGGGTCTTAGTTGCGGCGCACGGGATTGTCGTTGCAGCGTGTGGACTTCTCTCTAGTTGTAGTGCACGGGCTCCAGAGCATGCAGGCTCAGTAGTTGTGGCTCGTGGGCTCTGTAGTTGTGGCACACGGGATTGCCCTGCAGCATGTGGGATCTTAGCTCCCAGACCAGGGATCGAATCCGTGTCCCCTGAATTGGAAGGTGGATTCTTAACCATTGGACCACCAGGGAAGTCCCTCCATCCACTTTTGAATTTGTACAGTAAGTATATGGAGTATTTAGCAGGTGGACACCAAAATCCCAGGATATCTCCTTTCACAAAAAGAATGAATTAAGAAATCGATTGTTATTTCTAGATATTCTTTGAATTTCCCAGAACATTCTAACGAGGACCACCCCCCATCCAAAAAAAGAAAACACTAGATGATTCCAACCAAGCAGATGCCCTGTTCCCATTTTCAGAGGCTACAGGTGAGAACAAGGATCCAAGCACAGTCAAAAGATAGCTTTCTATGCTTTTCAAGTGATTAAGTGAAAAGAATGTTTTATTCTTTAAAATAAAATAATATTTTTTTCCACACCTAAATTTAAAATAATTTGGGATCTGAGAAAATTGAAGAATTGTGCTTTGGGAGAACATGAATGACTATTTTGTTCTTGATTTCAAGTATAACACACTTGAAATCCAATTAGCAATACAGTGTACACAGTGTACTTCCTGACTGTGAGGCTCTCAGATCCACATAATCAGGAAAGGTTGTAGAATATTCTTCCTTTGAAAATACTTAAGTATCAAACCCAAAGTTGCCACAATTTACAAAACATAATCTTATTTTAAATAGAAATATGTAATGCCTCAGGGGAAAAACAACTCTGTCTTTGGGGGAAAAAAAAAACCCAAAACCCTACGGGGAGATATGTACCAACTCAAGATCTGAAAAGTCATTCATCTATTTTCCAGGACCGGGAAAAGCTCATTCGTAGGAGAAAGCATAGAAGAAGTTCCAAGCCAATTAAGGTAAAATGAGAAAACTAGGTTATCAGGCTTTTGCCACACACAGAGCCAGAGAAGTGAGGCTTGCCAAGGAATCTTCCTGCAAAGATGTGACAAATCAGATGTTCCTGAATTGCAGCAAACCCTGGGGTTTATCTGCCAGAAGAAAACCTCTTCTCTTGACAGTTCTCAGAAGTCCAAAAATGATTGCATTCTGGATCTTAACCTGAAAGGGTTTTTTGCTTTAACAGAGTTCCTCTTAGTGAGGAAGCCACTAGGTTTGACATAGAAAGGGTTATCTGACAAGCTGGAGAGTCACACTCCAAGAACATGCACGAGATACTTATGATTTGATGTCTCCCCTGAATAATATTAGCATCTGGTACCCATCCTATAATTGATTAATGTATTTTCATTATTCACTTGGGCAATATTATTGATAATGATACTCTCAATCCATGAATATCTCTATAGCCTCTTATAATCCACAAAGTTTTGTTATTTAATTTGTCAATGCGTTTGATTTTTGCTTTTAACAATTGCATCCTTTGATTTGGATGTGGAATTAGATGATATGAGTTGATAATCCCTTCCCATAGACGCCTGGACTTTCAGAATTCCTTAATTATATTTTAAATACTGGACAGAGTAAATGACATAAAATCATCATGGTCTAAAATGTAACATAAAAGAGGATACAGTGTTTTTATGAAGAGCCCAAATATTAATGAATCTTCCTCCGAAATATCAGAAGTGAAATAACGTAGGACAAACATTTATTGGAATTATTGTGTTCATGCCTAATATGTTTATTTCATCAAAGAAGCATTAAAGGATCTATGTCTTTTCTGTTCATTTGCATGTTTGCCAGTTGACAGTGCTTTAATGATATGTTGACTTTCCCCACTGTTAGTTTTATTGGTAAATATGTACTGTCCCTCCGTTAGAGGCCTGTTTTGGACCCATTTATTGGCTACGATGAGGACTCCATGGATTCAGAAACATCATCCATGGCCTCATTTAGAACAGACCGAACGCCAGCTACTCCTGATGATGACTTGGATGAAGTAAGCTTTTTCACTTCTCTCTTCTTTTGTGATATTGTCACCACATCTTTCCTTGAAGGGGCAGAAAAACCATTTCACTTTTTATCTGCTTTATGAACAGCACATAATCTCATAATAGTGACCAATTTTGAGACTGTGCTTGACTTTGTTACCTCTTAGAAATAGCTTCACCTATGTTATGTAGCCCTTGTAGAAACTTCTCTGAAGTTCAGCTCTGTAACTTGAAGACTTCTTTCAAAATAAAATTATTCTCCCAGATTCTTCATCCAGAGGAGGCATGAACCAAAGAAGAAGCTTAGAGGAACAGCTTTCAAATAAGTCTAAGACAGTGTTTAGCCAAGTTTCTTTGTCGGCCACCTTCATCTGAACTATCTAGGGGGTTCAATTACCATGAAAGTTCCTGGACCACACAACTCCTGACTCAGGATCTTGAGGGTGGAACCCCCAAATCTGCATTTTTCACAGAACGCCTTGATGATTGTATTATGCTCTGAAGTTTGGGAGCTAACGCTGTAAAACTATGTTTTTATAACTTATCTGGGGAAGAAGTTGTTAGATATGAATGTATTGAAAGGAACTGAAACTAAAACTCTGATTACCATCTCCTCAAATTTGGATCCAAAATCTGGGTGTACATTTTTCTCATTTGGATCCAAAATTGTCTGTAATCCAAGCCCAAATGGGTAATAATCAGAAAGGTATAAATAAGCAAATGCTTCTCTTATTAATGAATACTTAAATATTTCTGAAATGCGCATCTGGAAAGTGTCATAGTATTTGTGCCCATACACATACTTTAAAATTAAGAATAAAATCACATAGAATCCAATATCATACAAACCTTTATTTCTCTTTAAAAAATGGACAAATGCTAACATTTCACACTGAACACAGGACCTGAACATAATTATTTTTCAACTTTTTTTTTAACCCCAAGAGTCTAGCAGCTGAAGAATCTGAGCTACGATTCCGACAATTAACAAAAGAGTACCAGGCTCTCCAAAGAGCCTATGCCCTCTTGCAGGAGCAGACTGGAGGCATCATTGATGCTGAAAGAGAAGCCAAGGTTAGTGTACATCTGGGAGAGTGCCCTGAATAGGCTTGCGACAGTCATAGCATAAAAGCATTGCAGACACAAAAGTACCAATAGGGTAGCTTTCTCTGTACCCTTCTCTCCACTGCAGTTTTGAACTGCTTTATCTTTTATGTCAACAAACCTTGGATCTAGAGACATTAGAACCAGCTTAGATCGATGCTTTTGTTCCTTTAAAGATAGTTGAGTACATAGTTCTTATTTTTGCCATTTGAAAACTTATATTTTCAAAGCTAAACAATGTTGAATTTTGGTAATCCATGTTTTTTAGTTTCTTGCTTAAAAAAAAAAGAAAAATTTTATCTTTCAAAAGCAATGGTTAGCCAGTTCTTTTTCTTAGTTAATAAGTGCACAGCATTACATTGACAGCTTACTGAGAATTGTCACTAACAATATCTCACTTAACCCTTGTGCCAGCCCCCTAAGGTGGGTATTTTATAAAAGAGGAATTTGAGGCTCAGAGAGGTTAATTGAATTGCCCCATATCACACAGCTAATAAATGCAAAACTGGGATTCCAAGTCATATCATACTGGGTCAGTTGTTTTTTCCATTATGTTGCAACTGCCTCTCATAAGTCTCTTTTTTAAAAACAAACACATACAGTACTAATACTTGACATTTATTGAGTCATTGCTGTGTTTCAGGCATTGTACTGAGTACTTTATATGCATTATCTCATGTAATCCTAAAACAACTCTATGAGTTAGATGCTATTATTAACTCCGTTTTACAGGAGAGGAAATAGTAGAAGTTAAATGTAGCTTAGTTAGGTTAAAACCAGGGTATGTAGCTTAGATGAAAGCTAGGATATGAACCTCGTCCTTCTGAGTTCAGTCATAACCACCATGCCATAACTTCCTCATAGGTTAGTTTACTTGGGGCAAGAAAGAGTGTGACCATCTAGTGATTTTATCCTACTTCCTAATTAGAAGGTCTACAATGTACTGAGGAATGTTGTAGGAACTACTGTTAGTTGGTTAGTGGGAAAGGATAGATATTATAGCTATATTTTTAAATGGTAGCATACATACATACATGCACATACACATACATAAGAGAACAAACATTAAAGAAAACCCACCATGATTTGGAATAGACAGGTAAGCAGTCATTAGGAAGGGATGTGTGTGTGTGTGCTTTCATGTCTATGCCCTAATACTGTAAGAGTTGTGGATTCCTTTATCAGTATTTACTACCCATTCTTACCAGTGTAGGATTGGTCAATTGAAATAATAGCCTATGCCTTGTTTTTTTGGAGAGGTGACGACATAGAACCCAGTTCTCTTTCTCTCGTCTCACTCTCCCATCAAAATACAGGTTTAGCATTGTTTATGGCCATTAAAGTAAGACAACTTACTATTCTGAGCAAAATAGTCTAAAACAAATCAAGATGTTGGGAAAAGAGTAGTAAATTCAAAGAAAGTAGAAATGCAAAAATAGTTAGTATAGATGAAAAAGTATCAGTGAAAACAGAAGACCTAATCACTTCAAGACAAGGGGAAAAAATAGGTTATACTCAGCACCCATTCAAAGTTAAAATAATTTTTTTTTTCGGCTGCGTAGGGTCTTCGTTGTGGTTCACGGGCTTCTCATTGTGGTGGCTTCTAGTTGCAGAGTACGGGCTCTAGGCACACGGGCTTCAGTAGTTGTGACACACAGACTTAGTTGCTCCGAGGCATGTGGGATCTTCCTGGACCAGGGATCGAACTCGTGTCACCTGAATTGGCAGGCGGATTCTTAACCACTGCGCCAACAAAGTTAAATTAATTCTTAGCAAACGAAGCTTGGAATTTTTTAACCTGATGAAGGTAAATATAACATTTAACAGTCCAAAGAAATACTTTCCTCACAGCAAATCATAAGAAAAGAATACTTATCATCACTGATTTTGTTCAACTTTGTTGAACCTATCCAGATCATAAGACAAGGAAAAAAATGTGTATGACCAGAAAACAAAAAAAGCTAATTTTCACAAAAAGTAGGATCATATTAAGAGAGAATACAAGTGAATCTAAAAAATTACTAAACTAAATGAAATAAGGTTGTTCCATACAAATCAGTGTCCCAAACTGCTGATGTGCGCACATGCGCGCACGCACACACACACACACACACACACACACAACACATGATAGATACATATATACATACCTACATACATAGATTTGGATTTAGATTTAAATATAGGGCAGAAAGTTGGCTTTGAAAGAACGGAAGGATTTGGGGGAGGCAAAATGGGAGAAGGCTTTCCAGAAGGGGAAGTCATTCAAATAAAGAGAGAAGCGGAGAGGTACAAGGCATATTTAGGAAACAAGGAGATCACCAGCAGGTAAAGGATGGACCCTGCATTGATAGTGGTGGGAAAAGATTGGAAATAGAAGAGAAGTCCTTGAAGCTAAACAGTTTGAATTTTAACCTGATGGTAAAGGGAGCCACTGAAAATTGTACACAGAGAATTTAGGTTGTAAAAGTAGATTGAAAATATTCTTTGGTGATAGAAAATTCTTTTTTTTTTTTTTTTTTTTTCCTCAGTTGTTGAGTTCTAATCAAGGAACATGAGGGGAAGAAAGATGTTGAGTTGCCATTTTACATACTGAGTTCTGGAATTTTGATTTCACTATAGGCTCAAGAGCAGCTCCAGGCAGAGGTGCTAAGGTATAAAGCCAAAATTGAAGATCTGGAAGCGACTCTGGCTCAGAAAGGCCAGGTAGGCATTTGGTTGCTCCCACTTCCGCAGATGCAGACAATTCAATCTGACCTTCCTCTAGATCACCCTGTGCATGGGCCCATCCAGGACACGGCTTGGCTCTCTCCACAGTGACCTTTCTCAAACTGTGTCAGAATGTTCAACTCTCTGTTTCTGTCCCTGGTGTTTTGTTGGCCAGAGTGTGAACCCAGCTACGACAGTGAATGAGGCTGGGCAAGAGAGAGAATGCCAGAGGAAGAGGAGCCCTGTACACATAGCCTAGAGTGGTCATGAGCTGCTAAGACCAAGACCCACCCCTCAAGCTGCATTCTTTGCCTCTATGCTACATTTATGGCTCTGCATTTTAATGTTTTCCATCCATATGTATCTAGCCTGTGTGCATTCTGACCCTTTTCACTTTTTGCCTGTGTGGTCACTTCTGAGTCCCCAGAAGGCTGGTCCTGGATTATTCAGACTTAAAAAGATAGGGATAGTGAGTGACAATAAAAAGGGGGTTAAATTTTCCCGGCAACTTTGGCCCCAATGTCTTGGAATAAGGAGCAGGCCGGGGTGGGTGTCATTTACCAGTCGTTGGTAGGCAAACAATCCGGGTGGAGAGAAGACGGCTCTGGCAAAGTGGTTTGACGACACATGCTCTTTCATGCCACTCTGAAATGCTGACTGCGCGATATTCTTTGTCAAACAGGATTCACACTGGGTAGAAGATAAACAACTTTTCATTAAGAGAAACCAGGAGCTTTTAGAAAAGGTATGTGGGGCACAACAACCTAGTGGGGCAGAGGAGAGAATGATTAGAGATCCAGGAGCAGCAGGGGGTCCTCTCAGGAGTGGCACAGGGGCTAGGGGACGGGGAGGCTTTTCTGGCGCTGTGCTCCCCTCTGCTGAGTGCCCAACTGCATCTCTGTCACTGCCATCACCATCAGTTGAGTGGCACGTGGTGTGCATGGCTCTGCGCTGGGCGTTGTGCCGACTTGAAAAGATGTGATCCCTGAAACCTATTGATTTGTTACCCATATATATATACTGTATATGTACTGTACATATATATATATATATATATATATATATATATATATACACACACACCCACACATGCACACATCCTATGTGATTGTCCATCTACAAGAGCACCCTGTGAATAGGACTTGTTATTTTGTGCAAGGACATGCTGCAACCTAGCATAGACTGTGTTCTTACTGTTAATTTTTTGCTAATGTTGGCTGCTTGTTTGTTTATTTTTTATGAAAGAACATTTCAAAAGATGCATCCAGAGCACAAAAGAGCATTTCCAGGAGGTTGGAACAAACCAAGATGCAAAGGCTTGGTTTCGGCCCAATAGATAGAATTAATTTGGGTTAGCTAAACATAGACTTTTGATTAGGGGCAGTGAAATACAACAGAGACCATTTTAAGTTCAAACGTGGCTTTTCCTTTGGTATTTCCCTTTGATGATGTGAAACGATTACAAAATAATCTCATATTATTCTTGACAGAAAGAGAATTTGAAAGCCCATTTGAAAAAGGGAAATAATTCTGTAGGGTGATGTAGAGTTATATAGAAATTATTTTAGGATTGTTTCTGCCAATATTCACTAGCCTTGACAAGTAATAAAAGTTAACCGCAACACCCTGGTAAGCATGAAAAGGTAAAGAAGATGCTTGTCCTCCCCTCCCTCTGGTCCTGTCTCACTTTCTACATGATGAGAGACAGAGCTGATGTATAGAAGGGGGTGGGTATTCCACGATTGAGGACTGGTACTCTCAGAAAGGTTACGGGTCCCTATAAAGAAGCTTTATGGACATTAGCCCTGGTCTGAATTGTAGCCACCTGTGAACCACTAATATTATGGCTAGTGCTAACCACCAGAGCCAGGCATCTCCCCAAATATCCCATCTCTGATGTCAATCCAAGATTCTAGGAAATATTCAACTTCTAAAAACTTTCAAAAGTTTACTAGACCACAAAAATCTAGTGGAAAAATCTTGAGTTGGCTGCATAAATTAATGTTACTTAGTATCTCACTTTCCCCCATCTTTATTTTTCTATAATTTTTCTATATCAGGAGGCCATGAGAAAAAGAAGATTTTAGTAGTCTCCGAGATGCCCAGTAATAAGTGTTATTACACTTATTTATCATCTAAAAAAATAACTCCCATATGTCTTCTTTCTGAAATTCTTTGGTCTTGATTTCTTTGGGCTAAAAGGGGAATTTTTTGAGCTCAGCCTTCTAAGGGTAAAAGAAAACCAAAGTGACAATAAAGCTAAACATTCTACTTCAAGTGTTTATCCTTGAGAAAGTAAGATTCACCCTACATTAAAAAGCCCCTGATTTTTTATTTCTAAAGTCAAGATTTTAAACAGTTACTGTACAGAAGGCCCACCCACACAGCTAATATCGAAGGCAGCCCCAAACCTATTGCAAATCATGAAAATGTTCTGATCCCTTGTGGACATGGGCACTGTGTACAGGGCAAGGCAGGTTTGTACAAAACTAACTTAATTCCATGCTTCATCAGGTTACACTACATGTCCTACAGGAAAGCCCTATGGGAAAACAGAAGGGAGAGTTGTCACTTTGGATTGAGGAGCCAGGGGAAGGCTCTTATAGTAGGAGACATCAAGGAAGCATAGGATTTCCTCATGTAGAAAAGGGAATGGGGGAGCCCTTTTCAGGCAGAGGTGAGCACAGACAGAGCTCCTGGAGTAACCAGAACATAGGGTAGATCTGGGTTTCTAGATTCAAGTGTGTGTGACCACATGTGAGTGTGTGTGTGTGTGTGTGTGTGTAGACATGACAGTGATAACACCTAAATCTGGTGAGCAGATTATTAAGGTTTTTGAATTCCACTGAGGACTTCGGCTTTACTTTGCAGGTAACTGGAATTCAAAAAATTTTTGTGTAGGATCAGAGCTGTTTTTAAAAAATATTTCTTCAACAACTTGTAGCTCCAGAAATAAGAGGTGTCAGTCTCCATTATTTGCACCATTAAATCTAGTTCTTGGGCACTGTCCCAGAGAGCAAGGGACAGATTCACTATTCATAGGGCCCCTAGACTTTATCTCAATGAATGGAGGCATCCTGCAGTATTTTCTTCTATGACCTGAAAAACTCAACCAAAGGATAACTAGAGGGAAAACCAAAGATTTATTTTATTCACATCTACTTGGGACTTTTTTCATGGTCTAGACGATTTATTCACCGTGTAAATGAATGCTGTCCATGCTTGCTTTGCAAAGTTGTAGATGCTTTTCGCAATGTCCACCTAACTTGAGGATTTACTTTATCAGATAGAAAAACAAGAGGCAGAAAATCACCGGCTCCAACAGGAACTGCAGGATGCCAGAGACCAGAATGAGCTGCTGGAGTTTCGAAATCTAGAGCTAGAAGTAAGGAAATGATGATAATGATAATAAAAATATTAACATGCACTGAACCCATTCTTTGTGTGAGGTACTAGCTTAAGCATTTCAGATACATACTCTCATTGGACCTCACAACCACAACCAAGATTTGATAGATGAGGCAACTGAGGTTCAGTAACTTGCCCAAGTCCTGTGACTAGTACGTGGTGAAGCACTGATGCAACTCAGAATTGTCTGCCCAGATACTGTACTTTACAACACTGTTGCCTTTATGAACAGGGCTAATGAATAATTTTAAAATAATTTGAATAATATATTTCAAACTTTATCAATATTTCATTGCTTTTAAATAATCATTTCCATCCTTCATTGAATTCTGACTCAGGAAAATATTACTTCAAGAATTATATTTTAAAATGTACTATATACACAAATATTTTATCGGTAGACCCTTGAATCTGTAAGTAAACTTTTTATTCTGTAATGCATTATGCAAAAGGCTAAGAAGCAAGGTAATTTGTTTTAGGAAATACTTTGTTTAACTTGACCAAGTTTCAGAGTCTTTGTTTTTAAGTAAAACATATCAATCAAATCAGATTTTGATTGTATCATGCGGAATCCAGCGTAGGGTCTGGTTGAATGTGCGCTGATATGTAAAGGATAAGAAAATTTCCCATTTGATTTCTGTGTTATTTCGCCAGCAATTTCTTCCTGAGGTTATTTTACATTAGGTTTGGATAAAGTTAGTAGTTGGTATGCTTCGGTGAAGAAGAGTTAAGTCATCTTTGGTAGCCCACAAATCTTACTAATAAAGCTTGAGTGGATTGAATATGCAAAAGACCATGAGCTGCCATAAAACTTCATGGTCAGAAGAACATTCTTTGTGATACCTGAAAGCTCTAAATATTCATGTAGTTTAAAATGGAACTCCACTTCCCACATTTCCTTGATCAAAAAATTTGCAAAACTGGCCGCGGAGCAGCTGAGCCCGTGAGCCATGGCCAGCCGCTGGGCCTGCGCATCCGGAGCCTGTGCCCCGCGGCAGGAGAGGACACAGCAGTGAGAGGCCTGCGTATCGGGAAAAAAAAAAAAAAAATTGCAAAACTGGATGACACCATGTTAAATTCTTCTCCCACATCTCTTAGTTGACTTAAATTCAAGCATGAAGATCTTGAGTTCAATTTTTTTTTTTTTTGCCAAATGGCATATTGATAAGCTGCTGAAATAGCATAGAGGCCACAGACAACTGGTTTAGTGATTAATCAGTTGTTGCTTTTTTTTTTTAATTCCCATATATTCTTCACTGTATTTCAAGGAAAGAGAGAGACGATCCCCTCCATTTAATCTGCAAATTCACCCATTCTCAGATGGTGTGAGTGCTCTACAGATCTACTGTATGAAAGAAGGTGTCAAGGTAGGCAGATATTTCCTTGTGTATGTTGTAGACATAGAAGAACTGGGAGTTGGAAAAGGGGAGGTTGTTTGTGACTGTTTTGTCTTTTGGTCACTGGTTGTCATTTTGATACAAACTATGTAGGAACTGAAAATAGTCACATCTATGGGAAAATCGACAGAACATACACAAAATAAATGTGTGACAGATGTGTGAATGGTAACAGCAAAAAAAAATCAAAGACAAAAAAATAGGAAGCCATGATTACTTAGAACAGAGTAACATAAAGAGTGATACAGAATCAAAATATTAAGATAATTACCCTTGATTATCTGGAGGAAATATTAAATAAATTCAATATTTTAAGAAACATATCTCAAGGATGGCAGATAAAAAGGTATTTGTTGAGTCCCTTTGTTGTGCTGTTCTAATTGCTATGGAATTCATCATCTTGGAATTTCAGTATTAGAAGAAACCTTGAAATCATCTTGCCCACCATCTCTTTTGATATGGGTGTTTTAGGGAGGATTTCACTTTGGGAAGGCCTTGGGGATTATAACATGTTGCTCACTTAGACAAAATATAATTTCATCTTTAGTGATATTGGAATACATTTTAAATATTAAGGTCGAGTGGAGGTGGCTCCATCTCCTGGAAAATATATTGTCCCTCAGTGTAACAGAATCACATAGTGACTGACTATTCCAGAGGTAAGGCTAGGAAGCCTCCCGCTCTTTCTGGTCTCTCCTTACCTTCTGCACGGCCCTTCCTGTTCCCACTCTGAGCTGCCAAATATACCTGCTTTAGTTGCCTTCTCTCTACCTCTGAGATTGAGCTAGACTTTTGTATTTCTGGCAGTAGGGATCTGCTATACTGTTATCTGAACCTGAGTAGAAGGAGAAAGTGGTACTTATGGGGGGGGAATTAGGTCGAAAATTGTGCTTCTTTGACTTCTGTCTTAAACCACTCTCATGTTGTTTAAACTTCTGGCCTTCCGGGGCTGCCTGAAAATTTGTAAACCAAAGCAATTTTCTGATTCAACTCTAATTCAATGGGAAGCACTTTACTTTGTCTTTTCCTTAGATGTTTTGTTTTTAGATAAATCACAAACAACCTAATCAGTGCATGTAGTTTATATACAAGGGAACTCTTTTAAATGGAGTTCAGCTGCTTCAAATTGACTCAGGGACTATAATAAAAATCAGCTGTTTTCCATAGGATGGAATTAATGCTAAACACCTAAAAAATAGAACTGCTCTGTAGTTTTCTATGTGACAGTCAAAATCTCAACCAGGTCAGAATTCCATTAATTAGAATGAAATTGGTTGGTTATTTAAATTTCTTTCCTGTTACTTTTCTCAATACTTGAAATCTACCACAGTTGAAACAATTTTCAACAATTATAAGAAAAAATGTTACTGAGCAAATCCTGAGTCCTTAGTACATCCTAGACGCTTTCATGTACAATCTCTTTATCCTCAAATCAGCCTATGAGGAAGTATTTATTTTGCAGTTGGCGAAATTGAAAATGCACTCTTAAGTAGTTTTCCCAGGTTCACACAGCTTATAGGAAGCAAAGTGGAAATGTAAAACCAGCTGTGCCTGATTGAAAACAAACCAAGGAAGAGCAGGTCTCAAAATGTCCTCTCTAACTCAAGGTTCAGGCGGGCACTGATAGAATGGTAAGCCACGACTTGAATGAATCTCCTTGATTTTGCAGGATGTGAACATCCCTGATCTCATAAAGCAGCTTGATATCTTGGGTGATAACGGGGTAAGTAATGAATTAATTAAGTGCAGTAAAGATATGCATTTGCCTAAAGAGAAGCAAGAAATACTTGCCAATGCATTATGTGTAAAATAGTAGCAAGTGAAGGGAGCTATACTCAGTATTTTGTAATAACCTATAAGGCAAAAGAATCTGAAAATGTAGTTATACACATATATATATATATATGTAGTTATACATATATATGTGTATAACTAAATCACTGTGCTGTACACCTGAAACTAACACAACACTGTAAGTCAACTATACTTCAATTAAATAAATAAATAGAAAAAAACAAAAAAATAATAGCAAGTGAGACAGCAGGTTCACTTAAGCATGCGGCTTCTGGAAAAGAATCAACAGTCTATCAAACAACTCAGCTAAGGGATTGTAAGGATCTCTGGAAGGTAGTGGCAGAAGTGGGAACTGGTAAGGTGCTTTTCATGCACAGGTTTCAGGTTTGAATGCCAAGGGAGTCTGCGCTGATTAAAGCTAATTACCTTCTGACTGTTGCTGGGAGGCATGGGGGTGAAATTAATCAGTCATGCAGTTGCAAATACTGCTAAATAGTAGGGTTGGTGGCAGCCCCATAAAAATGCACTAGGAAACTATAATCCCCTTTCTTTCTAAAAACACCTTCCAGACAGGGTCAAGGCCTACTAATTCAGTGGGAGGACCATTCATTGAGATACTAGATGAATGATGTATGTAGGTTGAAGTAGTCACACTGTTTTTTTCCCTTGAAAAATTACCAAAGGAGAGAACAAAATCGATTAAATCACATCAAAATGCTATGAAGAGATTACTCTTTATTTCATTTCTTTAATATCTTTATCGGAGTACAATTGCTTTACAATGGTTTGTTAGTTTCTGCTGTATAACAAAGTGAATCAGCTATACATGTACATATATACCCATATCCCCTCCCTCTTGCATCTCCCACCCTCCCACCCTCCCTATCCCACCCCTCTAGGTGGTCACAAAGCCCCGAGCTGATCTCCCTGTGCTGTGTGGCTGCTTCCCACTACCTTTATTTCATTTTGGTTTCTGCTTTTCTTATGACTATTAATGCAGTATGCTTACAGTGAAACAAAATCAAGTCAGCACTAGAGATATAAAAACATCACATTTAATGTACTTTTTACAGGTTTTGAATGAACTCTTTGTTAGGAATTATTACTAAATAGAATAGGCCGTTTGTGAATGTTCTATGCATGTGTATGTGGCAGGCAAGTTAGGCAGTATCTTCTGATAGTATAAATGTCAAAAAGTGTTTTCAGCTTATTTTCTTTCTCCCCACCCCTTCATCCCCCGCCACAGAATTTGAGAAATGAAGAGCAAGTGGCTATAATTCAGGCCAGCACTGTGCTGTCCCTGGCAGAAAAGGTAATAAATCATACTAACATTCAAATCATCTCAGTGTCTGGCTTAACACTTGGGGTTGAAGGACAATCTCTTTGCACAGGATTTTGCATTATTGAAAACCTAATAAATATTTTATTCTTCAGGGTGATATAACCCAGATAGAATGAGAACACACAAAAGAAGAGTCTACACACTGATTTAGGGTGGGTGGATAATTCTTGCTTTATGCAAAACCTGGATTACATTACTTAAGCCATCCTTACCAAGCTGGGAAACCAATAAAGAAGGGTTTTGTTAAGTGGTAAATTGGAGCATGGTTCTTTCTGTGGGCTTTTCCTTGGGTGTGTATATACCAGTTATTCCAACTGATTCTGTAACTTGGTGGTGGCTCCCTGAACCTTCATTTAGAAAGCCCAACCTGGGGACTGTCAGAAGAGCAACACTGCGTGATCTCTCACCCCCTTGTGTCTAAACCTAGTAAATGCAAGAGAGAGAAAAAAGGAAAGAGCCAAGTGAAGAAACCTGGTAACTGGCTGTATTCAGGGCACCTTGAGAATCAGCACATAGTTGACAGTCATGTGTACATGGCTGGATAAAGTAAGAACTTATGTACTATAAGTTCCTTGAGATGCTTTCTTAATTTCTAAATGCATAAAAAAGCATGTTGTAAATTAAATGAAACCATGAGCAAGCATTCACCTTGCTCCAGTCTGAAATGAGCGAATTCTACTGGTCAAATGACCCAGTTAAGTTACTCAAACAAAACAATGACATTTAAAAAAATGGCAGAGGGAGGGGGAAGAATTGCTATAAAATAAAAAGTTACTTAAGAAATATTGAAATGGTCCTTTTTTGCATCCTGATTCAAGCAAACCAAGTGTGAAACCAAGGACATTTTGCTAACAACTGGGGAAATTTTAATATGGACCAGGTATCAGATGACAAAAGGAATTAATATTAATTTTGCAAAGTGTGGAAATGACCTTGTGGTTATGTTATTTCTTAAAAGACCTTAAGTGTTAGGGACACATACTGAAGTATTTCATGTGAAATACCTGGGATTTGCTCTTTTAAAAACTTCCACCCTTCACAATTTAATAACAGACCTTATCACTTTCCCTTTCCTCTTGTGATCAAATTTATCGCACCACATTGTCCCTAACATAGGTCTAGAATCCAGAATTTGGCAAGAGGGCCCCCTGGGAACTGGCCCTTACCTATTTCTCCAGCACCCCACTTCCTTCCTTGGTTACAAACCAAGGTCTAGCCATGCACAAATCCTTTTGGGGCTCTGGTCTCCTCTCTCCTCTCTTCTCTCTCCTCTCGCTCTCTGTCTCTCTATCACTCTGTCTCTCTCTATCTACCTCTACATATTTTCATCCCTTGGTCCTTTACACTGTTCCTTTTGTCTAGATTTTCTCTTCTTCCCTTTCTACCTTTGTCTGGCTAAATCTTAATCATTAGACCCTCCCATACATGGGGAAGCCTTCCTATTCACCCAAGCCCAGTTAGGTCTTCTCACTCTGTGTTCCCACAGTGACCTGTGCTTCTGCTACCATGGCTTTTAGCAACTGTAATACAACCACGCTTTTTTTTTTTTTTTTTTTTTCTGTAGTTCACTAGACTCTACGCTCCACGAGGGCAACTCTGGAATCTGTTTTTCACTCTTTGTTCTCCTAGTTTTTCACACCAGAGCATCTCATCCAGTTGGAGTCATGAAGGGCTATGATTCTTTATTGCAAGCTTTCCCTCAAGCTTCCTACTAAAAGCAGAAAGTACCCTATAGCACGTAGGAACTGTTCTAGTAAAGCTTTGACGTATTAGTTCGTGCCTCCACTTACCTCCTTTGCAAAACAGGTGTGAGGGGTTTGGATTAAACAATCAAGGGGTGATGCCTATGCGCTTAGCACTGTGATTGAAAGTGAGGAATCAGCTGAATAAGACACAAGCTTGTCCTTAAAACGCTCATGGTCTGTGCAATTGCCTTTTGTGCAAATCTTTGCAATTCATAAGCTAAAGTCACCCCCATGTTTGGGATTCACAGATAAACATTTCTACCTCCAAGTAATTGTAAATATCATCTTGAACTTCCTGAGACCACACATTTGAATTACCTCTCTACCATCTGAGAGTGTGACCTTTAGCCAGAGGTTGAGCCTAGACAAATTTCCAACAAGGAAATCCTATTGTGACTTCGTATTAAAAATAATAAGAGCAGTGACCTTATGTGAGGACATGTTACGGGCCAGGGACTATGCTAAATACTGTCTGTGCATTATCTCATTGCTCCCCACAACCACCCTATATTCATCCACTATTTTCATTTTATCTCTGAGAAAACTGTGGCCTGGGCTATTCATTCCTCATCCTGTATCATCCATGTAGTCAGAGTCGGGAGCCAACATACAAATCTATAGCTAAAGCCCATGACCAGACTACTTCACTTCACGGTCCTCTTAAAAACATAGTGTGGGATTTCCCTGGTGGCACAGTGGTTAAGACTCCGCATTCCCAATGCGGGGGGCCAGGGTTCGATCCCTGGTCAGGGAACTAGATCCCACATGCATGCCACAACTAAGGAGCCCACAAGCCACAAGTAAGAAGCCCGCCTGCTGCAACTAAGACCCAGCGCAACCAAATAAGTAAATATTAAAAACAAAAAACAAAAACATGGTACACAAGAGAATTTGTTTCTCAATGGTAAATGGGCAGCAAGCAAGAGGAAGCATTTTAATAAAGCTTGATGGTACACAATTGCAATATGAGGGTGTTTACAAGAAACCCATGACTTTGGACTGAAATTTGTTTCATGAGGGAAGCCATGTGTATGTACAAGAGCTGAGAGATTAGCACCTCTCCAGTCTCCACGGCCTTTTTTCTTTCCGCATGTTCCTTACAGCCAAGGGGCTGTTGGATATGGTGGCCTCTTGTGAATACCAAGGCTTTAGTATATAGAAAAATGCTCAGTACACCACATAATTTATCACAAACAAACTAAGAAGAAATAGTTGGTAGTGAGGCAAATTTCTAACAGTGTGGAAGTACAAAAATGAATGTTAACCAAAAACAAGAATGTATTGGTTACCTAGTACGTGCAATACACTGTCAGTAGGACCTTAGGTTAATTACATCCTTTAATCTTCACATTATTATCAATCCCATTTCACAGATAAGAAAGTTGAGGCTCAGAGAAACCAGGTAACATTTCAAGGCCACATAGCCATGAAAAGCTAGGGTTGGGATTAGACCCGAGGTAGTCGGCCTCTAGGACCCACACACTTAATTATTTGCCCGATTGCCTCCCTGAGGGATAAGCTTATGGTTAACTTGATGGAGACCCATCAGCAATTTATTCTCTGAAACCATATATGTGGTAGGCTCACACTATATTATTCAAAGTGTAAATTCATTCAGGGTATTGATCTGTGCTAATATCAACACCATCTAACAGAATGATATATTCTAAGTGTTAGGAAAGATAGTTCTTTCTGTGTGATTTAAAATTTGTCTCCACTCAACAAAAATGATTCCTCAACATTTAGCTGTAATCAGTGTCATATACTGAAAAAAATGCCATTTCTCCAGTCTCACCTGGCCTTCTTTCTTTCATCATGCTCCCTCCAATCATGGAGAATTAGACATACCTTCTGCTTGGAACTTGCCCCTCACCTTTGCTTAGTCATCTCTGACTCATTCCTTACACCCAGTGTAATTGTCATTTCCAAGAAAGCCTCCCATGTTGTCCTCCAATGAAGGCAAAACATGTGTTGGTCTTATTCACCATCACAGCCCTCGTACCTAGCACATTGCCTCACACATGGTAGATATCAATGAAGGCTTTCGTTGAATGAAGAATGAATGAATGAGTGGAAATTTATAAACTTGTTTCTGAGCTAAGAGTTAAAATGTACCAAGTTTTCACTCCAATTCTTAGTCTGCTTCCTGAGATATAAGGGGAAGAGACTAAGCAGCTCAGGAGACAGCACCATTTACACCATGTCAAGCAATCATGTCAAACCCTTGTGTCTGGTCTACCCCTTAGTGGATCCAGCAAATTGAAGGAGCAGAGGCTGCCCTGCACCAGAAAATGATGGAATTGGAAAGTGACATGGTGAGTAAAAATGAGATGTCAGAAAACAAAAGAAAAATTGACAAGACAAATGGAAAACAACTGTTTTCTAGCAGTTTTATCTGGCACGGATGGAAGTTTGTAGCCTTGCCATTATTTTGTATATAGACTGTGAGACAGAATGCCCAGAAGTACCCCACAATTTCAAGTTATAGCCTCCAGAAATATCATGTTGTAATTTTGTAGTATTTCCAGAACTAATGCTGAAGAAAATCCAGTTAGGTGTTTTCTTTCTTAGGCTAAATAATTTTTCCACCAAACTGACAGAAATGATGGGTGTAACTTTGGTATTAAAAATCCCCAAGCCACCTCACTCCCATTAAGATGGCTACTATCAAAAAAAAAAACCAACAAAAAAACAGAAAATAACAAGTGATGATGAAGATGTGGAGAAACTGGAACCCTGTGCAGTGTTGGTGGGAATGTAAAATGGTGCAGCTGCTGTGGAAAACCATATGGTTGATAGTTGCTCAAAAAATTCAAAATAGAATTTCCATATGATACAGCAACACCACTTCTGGGAGTACACCCAAAATAACTGAAAGCGGGCTCTTGAAGAGAGATTTGTACACCTGTGTTCAAAGCAGCATTATTCTCTATAGCTTAAACGTGGAAGCAACCCAAGTGTCTGTCAATGGATAAGCAAAATGTGGTATATCCATCTATGGAATATTATTCAGCCTCTAAAGAGTAAGGACATTATGACACATGCTATGACATGGATGAACTTTGAGGACATTATGCTAAATGAAATAAGCCAGTCACGAAAAGACAAATACTGTGATTCTACTAATATAGGGTACCTACAGTAGTCATATTCATAGAAACAGAAAGCAAAATGATGGTTCTCAGGAGCTAAGAGGAGGAAATGGGGAGTTACTGTTTAATAGGTACAGAGTTTCAGTTTTGCAAGATGAAAGAGTTCTGGAGATTGGTCTCATAACACTGTGAATACACTTAACACTACTGAAGATAAGAAAGTTTCTGTGAAACTTTCTTATCTGTGAATATACTTAACACTACTTAAAAATGGTTATGATTATAAATTTTATGTTGTGTGTAGTTTGCCACTATTAGCTTTTTTTTTTAAATCCCCAAGCCTGGGAATTGGTCATTTTTAACTTACAGCAATACATAGACTTTTATAACAGTACGGTCATTACTGTTATCATTATTACTAAAAATCAGGTAGTGATTGCTATCAGGTTAGGGAATCCTATAGTAAGAACAACAAGTTGAATTTATATAGCATGTGACAGCTTACAAATCATTTGCTCATATTTTACACAGGACTTACATTTTACCAATAGGTTAGGCTGTAAAGTCAAAACATGTAACAAGAACTGTTTACATTCAAAATACCCTTGAACTCTTTAAATGCACAAATATTAATTAAGCAATCAGCTTGTTATACTGTTCTAGGCCCTGGAGCTCAGAGGTAATTAGGAGAGTCACTAGCAAAATTGCATGCAGACATATCCTCTCTCAAAAGTTGATGCAATCAACTTTACCTTCAGTGTTGGATGAGGCCCTTGTTCCTTGTTAAGCATACAGAGAAAGAATTGACTTTTGCTTGGAGCTATGTTCTATACAAAGATACATTTTTTAATGCCAATGGCAAGATGCTCACAATATGAGAGCCACACAAAAACTGAGGACAAGCAAGGGAACATCAGATTTACGTTTCCCAGCTCACTGTGGCTTTGCAGCAAGAGCAGACACTCACTCATTAAGTGGCACTGTGGGTGGAATTGCCTCCACACTCTTTTTTTTTCTTTCTTTCTTTTTAAAATAAAATTTATTTTAAATTGTGGTTAAAAAAAACATACAGTATGCAATTTGCCATCCTAAATTATTTATTTAGGACACACCAGGGTCCAAGTTCCCTGACCAGTGATCCAACCCATGCCCCCTGCAGTGAGAGCACAGAGTCCTAACCACTGGACCACCAGGGAAGTCCCCCATGACTCTTCTTAAAGCAGATGCCCACCCCCAACCCCCTGCCTCCACCACCCCTTCATAAGTCTTAGCAAGACAGGCAGATGGATAAATTGGTCAGTTAGTTGGTATGTGGATAGAGCAATATGTGTGGTTAACTTCGTGCCCAGTCTCTAAATTATCTTTATGTTTGCTAATGATACACAGATGAGTTTGAATAAATTGTTTTTTATTATACAACTTTGCTCTATTATATTTCATAACATTCTTACAAAAATATACTATCCCAGTATATTTACACAGATATACTTATTAGCATCTATAGCATTTATCTTGTCAGAAATCTACCCTTAGGGACTTACCTGGCGGTCCAATGGTTAAGACTCCGTGCTTCCACTGCAGAGGGCATGTGTTCGATCCCTGGTCGGGGAACTAAGATCCCACATGTCGTGCAGTGAGGCCAAAAAACAAACCAACAAACAAACAAACAAAAATCTATCCTTAATAACATACTCTTAAATTGGTATAAAAATCCTTTAAGACATTCCATGTGGATTGTTTGTTATATATTTTTTCTTCTTTCCATTGATTTGTACATTCCCTGTGTGAAACTGTAAAAGTTGAACTATTTCCCTAAAAGACAAAATCTGTGACCCTACAAATACTAGTGATTTGTCTTACAGTGGAATTAGAGAAAACACTAATCAGTACAATTTATATATCACTTTCTCATTAACTAAGCTGACTCTATCTATTAATGTCGCCCTTTTTTCTAGGAACAATTCTGCAAAATCAAAGGCTATCTGGAAGAAGAACTAGACTACAGGAAACAAGCTCTCGACCAAGCATATATGGTAGGTACAACAGGCAATGGAGACACTCCGAGTGTTTACGATTACATGCTCTGGAGTAAAGCATCCTGTGTAATTTGTCATGTCATGTATTTGAATAGACCACAACATGCAGCTCATTTATTCAGAGGTTTCCAGTTCTCATTCTAGAACAAATATATCTCTAGTTCTTTGCTGTTACAATACTCTTATAATAGTTAATAAATATTTCATTATACTTCATTTTTTTAAAAATTGAATTGTATTGTTAAATAATATTTAAATGAACAACAGATTGGATGGCAATGTAGATTAAAGAGAAATTTTATTAAATCAAATCTGATTGTTGGGGAGCCTAATCTAGGGATAGAATAATGATGTATTTAATGTGATACATATTTTTAATTCATTTATTTCTGACAACAACCCTAAGAGGTATAGGGAATATTATTATTTATATATTACATATGAGAAAATGAAGGCTTAGAGAGAGAAAGGACTTGGCTCAGCTTGGTACACAAGTAGGTAGTGTTTAGATCTGACTCCAGACATTGTGGCCTTAACTACCATCATCCAGCCACAGTAAGAATATATGGGTATGTATAAAATGGATAACTAATAAGAACCTGCTGTATAAAAAAATAAATTAAATTAAATTCAAAAATTAAAAAGAAAAAGAGAGTATATGGGGAAATGGGCTGTGCCTTTTTCTCTCCTCCAGAAGATTGTGCTGACGGAGGAGCACATTTGATCCACTTCCCTGAACCAAATTCATAAAGCATCATCATTCCTAATATTGGACTACAGCTTGCACTTCTTCTTAACGTGTGGACACCACCGTGCCCCCTACCATAATACACTGTAATGACTCAAGAGAAAAAGAGGAACATTTCGAGGAGTTGCTAGTAGAGGTTTCTATAATGCTTTCCTGGAAGCAGCCTGAGTCACTTTTGGGAAAAGAGTGAAGCACTTAGCCCCTGCTTGTAACAAAGATGAATTAGTACTCCCCACCCAAGATGAATAAGAGATTCTGAGCACTGACTGATGGGGAAACGAGAGGATGAGTATTGGCCGCGGATTAGAGAATAAAGAAGGAGGTAATTTTTCCCTCCCTTCCTATCCTTTTAGCCTTGCCTTCTCTACCTACACAGGGTAAGATTAAACTGCATGTGTGTGTGTTCCAGGACTGAAGACTCATTCAGATAATTATTAATATATTGAACTTTTAAGAGATGAGACCTGCTTAGTCCAGGACAGGAGCTTGGAGAACGTCCCTCACCAGGGCATGTCCTTTCACCTATGTCAGAGTCACAGGGGATAAGATGATAGATTTTGGTAACTGCATCTGAAGCATGTGAAAGAAAAGAAAACTGGGATTTAAGAAGCAGTAGACTGTTCGTCTAAAAAAGAAAAGCCTCAAGGAAGCATTTTATAGCTAGAGCAACTATAAATCTCAGAGTATTAAAAAACAGACGAACTCCAAAGACTCTAGGCTATATTTCTCAATTTTTCTTTTTATAAAAAAAAATGGAGACTATAAAGCCATCTTCAGAGGTGTGTCATGTGGAAGAGAGGTGGCATTGTGTGTGTGAAATATCTCCAATTTCAAGTATTTTATTCCAACTTGGACCACTTTTCAATGCTTATTTCTAAAAATATAGCCACCACGATAGATGTCTTTAAATATCTGTCAAATGAAAGAGAGAACAAACTTATTTTCAGCTACATTTGAGAATAGAAGGATATACAGTTATTATAACAAAGTAAGGACTTCCTAAAAATGAAAAGTATGTGAAATGGACAGGATCCCAAGAAAAAGAACAAACTCTCCATCATCAGAGTAGTTCACGTATTGGCTAGATGATCCTTATGGCATCTTATAAAGGGGATCATCAAAAGGATGTTTAAGCTGGAGAAGCTTTTTTTTTTTTTAATTATTTTTGGCTGAGTTGGGTCTTCATTGCTGCACGCAGGCTTTCTCTAGTTGTGGCGAGTGGGGGGGCTACTCTTCGTTGCAGTGTGCGGCCTTTTTTTTTAATATATAAATTTATTTATTTTATTTACTTATTTTTGGCTGCGTTGGGTCTCCATTGCTGTGTGCGGGCTTTCTCTAGTTGTGGCAAGCGGGGGCTGTTCTTCATTGCGGTTCGCAGGCTTCTCATTGCGGTGGCTTCTCTTGTTGCGGAGCACAGGCTCTAGGCAAGCAGGCTTCAGTAGTTGTGGCACACGGGCTCTGTAGTTGTGGCTCGTGGGCTCTAGAGCGCAGGCTCAGTAGATTTGGCGCATGGGCTTAGTTGCTCTGTGGCATGTGGGACCTTCCCGGACCAGGGCTCGAACCTGTGTCCCCTGCACTGTCAGGCAGATTCTTAACCACCGCGCCACCAGGGAAGTCCCAGTGTGTGGGCTTCTCATTGCAGTGGCTTCTCTTGTTGTGGAGCACAGGCTCTGGGAGTGCGGGCTTCAGTAGTTGTGGTGCACGGGGTCAGTAGTTGTGGTGTGCAGGCTCCAGAGCGCAGGCTCAGTAGTTGTGGCTCACGGGCTTAGTTGCTTTTGGCATGTGGGATCTTCCCAGACCAGGGATCAAACCCTTGTCCCCTGTACTGACAGACAGATGCTTAACCACTGCACCGTCAGGATAGTCCCTAAGCTGGATAAGCTTTGAAATTTATTTTGTTGCTAGGATCCTGTGAGACTAAAATAATACATCCCTCCACATGTACACACATGTGTACATTCACATACCACACATAAGATGCTAAATTCCAGGGTTTTCTAATTCTATTTGCCAGAGAATCCAGGAACTAGAAGCGACTTTGTACAATGCTCTGCAGCAAGAAACTGTTATCAAGTTTGGTGAATTATTAACTGAAAAACAGCAAGAGGAGCTGAGGACAGCAGTGGAAAAGTTACGGCGGCAGATGCTGAGGAAGAGCAGAGAGTACGACTGTCAGATTCTACAGGAGAGAATGGAGCTCTTACAGCAAGCCCATCAGGTGAGGATGTAGTCACTACATGGGTGGTACTAAGAAAATGGGACCGAGTGCTCAGTACATAGTGTTGAGTATGAGTATGGAGAAGCCTGGGAGCTAGAAGCTATTTTCAAAGAGTAAAATAAATAGCTATTGTTTTCCACCTACACTCAGAAACAGGACCATAGTTTTATAATGAACTAATCTGAAGAAAATTGGCACTTCAGAAGCACTGTGTCATGCTCCTGTTTTTGCAACTACTTTGTCATGAAACACCCCTTGAATCTCATGGAGCCTGATTATGTCCCTTATGCTGGGAAGGGACTCTCTGGGACTCAGTCCAGGACACAGATAATGCTTCCCCACTGTTCCTCATCCCAGTCCATAACCTAGCCTGATCAAATAATCCAAAGAGGGTAAAAGGGAACAAGGACCTTTCTCTTTATTCCCAGAATAAACAGCAACAGCAACAAAGCATGGAAGCTGCCTCTTACTTACTGGCATGTGCTATAGGTCAGGAACTAAACTAAGGGCTCTACTTCCATTGTTTCATTTAATCTTGGCAATAGCCCACTACTGTAAGTATTCTTATTATCCCAGCTTAAGAGATCATGATACTGAAGAAAAGAGTGCTTAGGTGATTGGCCCAAGATGACAGATAGTAAGCAACAGAGCCAGAATTACACCCCAGATCAGCCTGACTCCAAGGCCAGTGCACATAAACATTGCACTATGCTGTCTTCTACGGCTTGAGTCATCTATAATTTATATGATTTATCTAGACCAGCAAGGCTCAAAATAAACACCCAATATTAACTTATAGCCAAAATTCTTAATTCCAACTATTTGTTCATGTCACAGATTGACAGGCAAAGACTAGGGTCCTGGTCAAAAAGCAGATTCTGAAATAATTCCAGAATTGAAAGTTCCAAGCTAGGGTATTTGGTACTCATAAGCTGAAATAGGCAACTGGTACAAAATCCAGATGGGCTATACGGGAGGTAAGAATCATGTGGTCCTTAGAGATCAAGGTGAGTAGAAAAGGAACAGGGGTTATTTTTTGTGGATCTTTACAGGCTAACAAATTACCCAAGTTAACAGGGAACTCTGAAGCCATTTTGTCCCAGAGATGATAAACACATGCACGTTTGTTTCACTGGTTCTTGAGATTCCATCATAAAGGTTTGGATTTTGACTCTGAAGAGAGTTTTAAAGCTTTCAATAATAGACTGTACGGTATCATTGCATTAATGCAGGCATTCTTTCCTTCTATAAGGGAATGAACATGTCCTCTGCATAAATTTCTTAGGCTGCAATAGCATTTAATTAATTTCAGCAAAGAAGGAGGTGTGTCGTAGAACCACAGAAGTGTTTATTTTTAAGATGGACAAATAGTTATCTAAATTTTTTTATGATTAAAGCCTTGTCAATGCTTTTGTGTCTCTTCAGTCAGCTAAGGTACTTCACTCCCAAAAGAGATGGTTCTGTTTGATTTGTTTTAAGTTACCCAGTCTAAACTGTTAAGTACATTATATTTCTAAGCCTCAGAGAGTTTCATTGACATTTTCTGTCTCCCAGCCAGATGTTCATTAGAATATGCCTTTCCAGTTATTTCTTACTTTCCTTTCAATCAGTAGCTTTGATTTGAGAGAATTATTCCAGAAAGCATTGGCCAGGATTTGTCATATATAAGTTTATAATGCAGTCTAAATTCTAGAGCATATCACTAACCACTTATTAGACGTTTCTGTTTGAATGTTTTAGAGTGAACTCATATGAAACACACCTAAACACACATTCTTATCCTTACTTCTCCCTTCTCTCCCCATCTGCCTGTCTTGGTTAGTAGAACTACCGTATGTCAAAGCACTCAAGCTGAAAACCCTGGGGTCTTCCTTGTCGTTCTCCCCTTTTCTGATGTCATACTCTTCCTCAAAAGCCTCCATGATCCCAATTTCCAGTTGAGTCTAGTCGTGCTATCTCCAGGGCCTTCAGTAGCTGGCTACTCCTCCCCTAAAACCCAGATTTGAGACAATCTTCATAGCTTACCTTCCTCTCTATTCATGCAGAACTCTTTCCGTACGCCTTAGGCCATGATTTCCCACCTCCAAGCCTTTGTTTTCCTGACTGCTCACCCCAAAATGACGTTCAGAGTCCGCTGTACTTATCCAAATCTTCTCATTTTTCAGTTTAGATCCAGCTCTTCAGAATGCTCTCCCTGATGAACACAATGAACTACATACTACTGAAAACATCAACATTCCATACCCTTTTTATGCACTCATTCAGAACCATTTATTGAGGGCCTGCTTGTGCTGGGTGCTGGGAATGTGATAGTGGAGAAAGACATAAAGGTCACTGTTCTCATGTATCCTACCGATGAAGAGGGAAAAAGCGACAATGCAAATGAGCAATAGCCAGGGCAATTTCAGAGAGTGGCAATAAGTGCTCTGAAGATGTGTGCGTGTGTGTGTGTGTGTGTGTGTGTGTGTGAGAGAGAGAGAGAGAGAGAGAGGGAGGGAGGGAGGGAGAGGGAGAGAATGAGAGTGAGTTTGGGAGTAGGATTAGCCACTCTAAACTGGCTGATCAGAGCAGGCCTCTCTGACAATGTCAAAATCCCAAGGAATCAGCCGCACAAAGATTTTGGCAAGGTGTCCCAGAGGTTAGGGTCAGCAGGGGCTAAGTTTCTATCATGGGAATGTTTGGAATATTTAAGGAGCAGAGAGAAGGCCAGTATGGCAGGGGCACACGGAGCCAAGGGAAGGTGGTTATGAGATGAATCTGGAGAGGTGAGACAGGCCAAGGTCATGCTGGGCCTTGAAGGAGTTTGCGTTTTATTCTGAGAGCAACTTGGCTAACTGTCCCTCTTCCTCGCCCCCTTACAACTCAAGGACTGCCGTGATCATTTCACATTCTAAGAGTTCACGCTGGCTGCTATAGGTGGATGTAGGATGCACAAGATTAGAAGCAGGAAGAGCCGGCAGTAACCTCTCACACAGTCATGATGAGGGACTTGGTGTACTTAGTAGCGGTAGAGACAAAAAGTCATAGAAAAGGGATCTATTTTGGACTCCATAGAGTTTACTGTGAGACTGGATGGCAGGCTGGCAAGCAGATGGGAAGGAAAAAGACAAAGCCCGCAGCACACCACGTAGCTTACCTAACTCATTGAATAAATATGTATACGCAGCTTCTTTGTGCTGAACACTGTACTGGGTATTAGAGATTGGCGGTGAAGTTGTGCATAGTTTTGCCATTGTTTACCTTTTCTGCTTAATCTGTTTTTCCCTGTGTTTTACATTTTTTCTCCCCATCTGGATGTGATAGTTCTTTGAGATCAGGAACTAACTGATGCCTTGCCTGTATTCTCCATCACATCCAGCACAGTCCTGAACATGTAAGAAGGTGCCCAACAAGCACAGGCTTAGTGGCTGCATAGATGCCATAGTAATCTCATGATTTTATTGGTGTAGTGCTTGCCTCTACATCCAGCAGACATATGAAGGAAGTTCTTGCACACTCAAGGTAGAAATAGCTAGCAAATTTATTCTTTCACTGTGTAGCTATGGAGCATAAGCCGCACTATGGAAATACAAGCACACACATCACACACATTTATCATTCACTGTCACACACATCAGCATTCATTGTCACATAATTTCATGGTCCTTCTGACAAAACACACCCTCCTCTCCTGCATAAACCTCACCCTCTTTCCTTTACAGCAGGATTTCTCAGTCTCTGCACTACTGACATTTTGGGCCAGATGATTCCTTATGGGGGGTGGAGACTGATCTGTGTACTGCAGGATGTTTAGCAGCATCTTTGGCCTCTGCCCCTTAGGTGGTAGTTGCACCCCTTCCCCCAGTTGTGACCAGTGATCACATGTGATTCAAAACTGTCCAGAAATTAGATAGTGGTGATGGTTGCACAACTTTGTGAATATACTAAAACCACCGAATATTACACTTTAAAATAAATTAACTAACTAAATTTTTTAAATGTCCAGACATTGCCAGATGTCATCTGGGGTACAAAATCACCCCCAGTTGAGAACCACTTTAGAGAGAGGAAGATATGATTCCCAAGTTCAACTGTTCTTTGTTCTAGCTTCCCTTTTGTCTCCCCAAATTGCATTGTAAAACCTCTCCTTCTATATTATCACGTTGTTTAGCTTCCATTGTTTTCTTCTTAGACCTCAGTTCTCCATTTTCTAATTATTCCCAAAAGAGGCATTAAATTACAAGCTTGCCCTGTGTAACCCTGTACCATGAACATACAAGGCCTTTAGATTGCCAGAAGGAAATTTGAAGACTCTTTTCACTTATAAATTATTGTCTATGTAATGTCAGTTTCAAATCTGTGCTATTTAAATTACTGGAATTTTGTTATAGTTTACAGGTAATTTCAAAGACAGTTCTGGAACTTTTTTGTCTTCAGGACAAAAACCTGTGTTTTCTTGTTATGTTTGGGGGGTTTTTCCCCCCTAGTTTGTCAGTTCCTTCTTTTGAATCTTTTTGAAGTGGAATCTCTACCTTGTTTTGTGAAAATTGGTCAGTCCTGTTTCGTGAGGAAATTCCACCCTGAAACAGATTTGAAATAAGGTTGAAAAAAAAAGGTAGAACAGAAACCGATGGGATAGTTGCATTTGTGTGAGCCAGTTTTAGCCATTTTTTAATGAGGTAATAAACAAAAACCTTAATCAAATGGTTTACAACAAAATTTGTTTCTTGCTCTCTAGTTCTGGGACATACAGCTGCCTCTACAAGGATGTGGCTTTCCCACATCTCACTCCCACTCACGTTCCACTGGCCAAAACAGGTCTCCTGACCAAGCCCAAGGACAGTGGGGTGAGAATCATACCTCTCTCACAGGGAAGGGGTCTTCAGGGGTAGATTGACCCAGAAGAGAAAGGGATGGCAAATATTTTTAAAATATAATCAATGACAATGATTTTCACTGTGAGTACGGGTAATTTTTGAAACATGCAGTAAAAACCCACTGGGTATAGAAAAACGTATATGTGACATTTCCAGATGTTATGTTTTTATAGAAAGTTCTGTGTTTTAGGTTGGTGAATGATCTTGTTTAACTTAACAGACTGAAAAGCTTCTTTTTCCCATCCCTTTTTTTTTCAGAGAATTCGTGACTTAGAAGATAAAACAGACATTCAGAAAAGACAGATAAAGGACTTAGAAGAAAAGGTACATGTGAAGTTCAATATGTATTTCAATCTTTATTTTTTAGATCAGACAATGATATTGTTTTCACTCACTGTGTTTTCTTTCTTCTCAGCTATTGTGTATCTTGTGTAGGCAGGTATAGTTACAGTAACCGTAAACTCTGCCTGTAGTCAGGCACCAGGATTCTAGCAAAGCTTCTGCCTTCAGTTACATTTTTGCCTTTTGTGTTGATTCCTGTCCTTTTCTATAAGTGTTTTCTTTCCTCAGTTTTCCCTTTCCCATCTTCACTTCTTTGCCAAAAGTTTCTTCTGAGTTTTGTTACTCTACATTCCTCTTCCTTTTTAAAATCGTTTTAGTCCCTTTTTTAAAAAGTCTTTCCCATTATTCATAAGAAGCCCTTTCCTCCTTGTGCTGCAATTTCACCTCAATAATGCATTCAGAAATGTAGATTGACACATGAAAACTATGCCCTCATGTCACTTCCCCTGTGGTCTGAGAGAGGAACTGCTTCTTCCAAGTCAGCCAACACTTTTGGCAGGGGAGGGGGTGAGGTAAAGAGGGCATTTGGAAATGTGCGTGTTCTGGGAGAAGGGAGAGGGCTAGCGCAGGGATGCTCCTTAGCTGCAGTGAGTTCAGCAGTCTTGCGTAACAAAGAATTATCCTGCCGATGATGCCAGGGGCGCCCTGCCTAGGATGCCAGGGGCGCCCTGCCAAGGAACACAGCAGGGATGGCAAGAGAATGTGTTCTATGGAGTTCCAGTCTCACTGACTGGAAGTAGCAACCTGAGTCCCTGTGTTGCGAAAAAGCATGGTTGTTTTGCAGTATCTCTCACGGGCACCCAAGAAGCAAATAGCAAACCACCTTCCATTTCTGAGATAGTGATTAGAATTTGGTTCATCCCAAGTGGCTTTTATAGTTGCCCTTATGTGAGCTCAGAGGCCACTGGTAGGGTCCAGTAGCCAAACAATCAGCCACCTAGATTCTTATGTAGTCTGGGTCTTCATGTACTTATTTGAGCTTGGGTAAGTGACTTTACCCACTGTGTCTAAGCCATATCTATTCAATAGGGATGGTAACACTCACCATCACCTCCTCTCATAGGTTCCATGAGGAAAAAAATGAGGTCACTTACATGAAAATTAGGAAACACTGAAAAAGTATAAGTCAAATTAAAGTATATTTTTTAAAATTTCCAAATGTAAAGTTACATATCTTATACAAAATTTTAAATTTGAATTTTCCTCTTTTCCAAGGTGTGCTATTTAGTTCTTCAGGGTAAGAGTGTAGTAAACGAAAAGCTGCATCTAATTTCCCAGTGTTTGGCAGAAAGACCCATAGAAAGCAGGGGTTGTCCACCGTTTCCCTGGCTGTCAAAGGACACACCTGCTATCTTCCATTTTCCACGTATTTAAATGGCTACCCTTGGTCCTAGTCAGTCTCTCTGCTAATTCGTAAACAGTCCTGGGGTGGCTCAAGGAGGAAGCTGCCAGCTCTTCCCCAGAAACTTCGTTCAGTTCAGTCCCCACTTAACTGAGGAAAAACAAACAAAGGAATTTTCTAACATCTAGTCAGGTCACCACCCTAGCCAAGTTAAATGTGAACTTTTCATTTTACAGGTCTGAACTTCCTAAATATTTATGATAATAGGTTAATGTTCTTAACAGAAAATGATGATTATTTAGCTATCAAAGCAGCATATTCCATATGTAGTACTAAACTAAGCCACTTCAAAAACAATCCAGTTGGTTTTTGATTAGAGGTTAGAATGACAGATGAGGTTTATAAAGTACCTTCTATTCACTTGACCTCATTTCTACTCATCCACAAGCATAGTAAAAAGGCTAAAGATCACTTATGTCAGGGATAGTCTTCATTCTTTCCCCTGGGGTACTTGAACACCTTCTCAGGGTACATACAGTATTCCTTCTTTGTTCCTAATTCCCGTGCACACAGTGAGTATAAATCAGGTGATAAAAACAAACAGCAAAATTGCTTCCCATGTGCCGCTCTTCACCATCCAAGGCACTTCCACGTTCATCATCTCATTTGATGATGAATTATCATCATTCATTATAATGATTAATTATTATAATAAATAATAATTATAATTAATTATAAGTATCCTGAGAAATATACCACAGATATTATGTTCCCCTTTTATACAGATAATAAAATGAAGGCTCAGAGACATTAAACAACTTTACCCAAATCATATAACCAGTCTATGGCAAATCAAGACCAGAGGTCAGGTATCCGACCCTAAGTGCCACAGCCTGCCTACCACATAGCATGGAATTTAGACTCTCCTTGTAAATCAAGTGATGGGCGTCCCCTCATGCCCAGAGAGGTAGCTCTGACACCTGACCTTCTCATGGGAATAGTGGAAGCCTTCCATTCCTCTCCATCCACTCCTGTTCCATGTGCCATCCTATTACTATCCATCTTCAAGGAATGGGGAAAAAAAAAAAAAAAAAGGACAGAGTTTCTGCTTATCATAGTACTAGACCAGTCACTAATACATGGCTCTTCACACCATGTCTATAACTTGTTCATGCAATTTTGCCACAGTGAAGCAAGAGCCTTATAAGTATGGCATTAAAGGAAATATGCAAATAATATGCCCAATATGAGACTGCCATACAGGACCCTATTCAAAAATGTCATGACCGGGCTTCCCTGGTGGCTCAGTGGTTGAGAGTCCGCCTGCCGATGCAGGGGACACGGGTTCGTGCCCCGGTCCGGGATGATCCCACATGCC